AGATTATTGGGATGCGGGGGGATCCTACTTTTGTTTGCGAGAAATGCAGAGCACATTTGTGGTACGAGGAGAGAAATAAAAAAAATCATAAACCCAGCACACCAGAGTTTGGTTTGTGCTGCGTAAATGGAAAAGTAAAACTTCCTTTATTGAAAGTTCCTCCTGATGTTTTGCTTAATTTGCATGATAATTCAAATATCAAGAGCCACCACTATTTATGGAATATTCGAGCATACAATATGATATTTTCCTTCACCTCCTTTGGAGCAAAAGTGGACAGATCAGTGAATCAAGATTCTGGCCCTTATTGTTTTAGAGTTGGGGGACGAGTGCATCATTTAATAGGCAGCCTTATTCCAGCTGAGAGTCATACTCCAAAATTTGCTCAGCTATATATATACGATACTGACAATGAAGTTGACAACAGATTGGGTTGTTTAAGGCACGTTATTTTCTAATCTATTGTCATCTATCAATTACGGTGTATATTTTTATTTATTTTTTACTTATTTTTATGACATTATTCTTGCAGTTCGATAAACAGTGAAGATATGCTTGATCCTGATATTGTCCTATCATTGAAGGAAATGCTGGATAAACACAACAGTATTGCTCAATCTTTTAGGTACGCTAGAGATCGATATAGGGAAGATGACTTTAGTGGAGTGAAGTTGAGGCTTATTCGAAAGCGTGGTAGTGATGGCAGAGTTTATAATCTTCCGTCTGCGTCAGAAGTTGCTGCTCTTATTGTTGGGGATATAAACAGTGCATTGGGTGATAAGGATATTGTTGTTGAGACACAAGAAAGAGTTTTGCAGCGTATAGATGTCAAGCATCTGTTGTATCTTGGATTGCAGTATCCTTTGTTATTTCCTTATGGTGAAGATGGTTATCGTGATGATGTAGAGCGATGTTATACATCATTATTCCTTCTTCGTTCACAGGCGGACCTAGATATATGGCTGAGAATTGTAAAGATGCCTTTGCAATCTGCCGTTGGGCTGGATATCCTCATCTGTTTATAACGATCACCTGCAATCCTAAGTGGCCAGAGATTACCAGATTTCTTAAGGCAAGAAAACTCAACGCTGAAGATCGTCCTGATATTCTTTGCCGAGTATTCAAGTTCAAATTGGACGAATTGCTACATGATTTAAAAAAGGGTCGTGTTCTTGGCACAGTTAATGCACGTAAGTGTATTGTTGAGATTTTGTTTTTCGATTTTTATGACAAAATTTACACATTGATATATAGAAAATAATTGGACAAACCGGATCACAATTTTATGTATCCTACCAAAAAAATTCAAAATAAAAATCGAAAAAAACCAATTTATTGATTTTAACTAACTCTGTCTGTTTGTTTAATGTAACAGATGTTTGTACAGTTGAATTTCAGAAACGTGGACTGCCTCATGCTCATATTCTACTTTTCTTGCATCCCTCCGAAAAACCTAATACTGGACTTGACATTGATAATTTGATTTCAGCTGAGATTCCTAACAAAGATTCCAATCCTTCACTTTTTGCATCTGTCACGAGTTATATGATGCATGGACCATGTGGTCCTGACAATTACAAGTCTCCTTGCATGAAGAACGGACATTGTTCAAAGAAATTTCCCAAGAAGTTCTGCTCCCGTACTTTTATTGATGATGATGGATTCCCTCATTATAGAAGAAGAAATGATGGAAGTGTTGTCAAAAAGAACGGCGTTGAACTTGATAATCGTTATGTTGTGCCGTATAATGCAAAACTTCTTCTAAAATATCAAGCGCATATCAATGTTGAATATACTTGTCAAAGTAGTGCCATTAAATATCTCTTTAAATACATCCATAAAGGGCAAGACAGGGTGACAGCTGCTATAAATCATTCAGATGATGAAATCAAAATGTTTTATGATTGCAGGTTGTTGAATTCATATCGGTTATGTTTCCTTTCGTTACTTGGAATAACCTTTTTCTAACTTAATTTGAATTTATTGCTTATATATGATAGGTATGTGTCCGCATGTGAAGCTGCTTAGAGAATATTCGAATTTGAGATTCATTACAGATTCCCCCCTGTTCAGTGATTGCCATTTCACCTACCCAATGAAAAAGCGTTTTTTTTAGTGATCATGCTTCAATAACCGATGTCAAGACTAGGGCGGAGTCTAGACAATCAATGTTCGAGTCTTGGATGGATGCAAATAAAAAATATCCAGAAGGTAGGAATCTTACTTATGCAGAGTATCCAACTCAATTTGTATATAAAGAAAGTACGCATGAATGGCATCCCAGAAAACAAGGATTTTCAATTGGAAGAATAAATCGTTTTTCTGCCAATAATGGAGAAGATTCCTATCTCCGAACTTTACTTAATTTTCAAAAGGGTTGTACAAGTTATGAAGATTTGAGAACGGTCAATGGGGTGTTTTTTCCTACATATAAGGATGCCTGCTATTCTTTGGGGCTTTTGGTTGATGACAATGAGTACATTGATGCAATTAAGGAGGCAAGTTCTTGGGGGTCAGCAACTTATCTGAGAAATTTGTTTGCCTTATTGTTATTTGGTAACTCAATGAACAGGCCTGCAAATGTTTTCCAAAAATGCTGGGAATTATTATCTGACGATGTTCTTTATCGGCATAGGCAAAGAATTGGACGTGAAGGTAATTGTCCGGAACAAATTTTGTGCATTCATTTATGTGTATTGTGCACTATAATTAATATTCTTGTCGTTCTGTATCGTGCATTCATTTATGCAAACAGTTTGCTTATGTTTAATTCACTTGACCTTCGAAAAAATGTGAGCATCTTTTGTTCCTTCATAATAAAATTACATCTATACATTATACACCGTCCTATTCTTAATATTTGGTTAAAAAAATTTGTGATGTTTCACACCCTCTGCTTTGTTCATAATTTTGATTTATTTTTCTTTCCTCACCAACTTTGTCTTTGTTAATCCTTTTTTTTTGTATTTTTCAATTTTTTTCAGATGCTTTGCTTACAGAGGATTCTATAAAAAAACATAACCCTGGCAGAAATCGATATGGTGTTGCAAAGCAACAGTAAATGCCTCTCTGATTGCCCATCCATGCCGAGCATCATGGGTGAATCTTTATTGGATATGCAGAATAGATTGGTGATGGATGAATTGTTGTATGACAGTTTCTCTTTGAAAGAAGAGCATCACAGACTACTGAATTCACTCACTGATGAGCAGAGGGTTGTTTATGACAAAATAATTTCAGTTGTTTCGGCAGGTAAAGGAGGATTTTTTTTTCCTGTACGACTTTGGTGGGACTGGAAAAACATTTATTTGGAACACCCTGTCAGCATTTGTTCGATCTCGAGCTGAAATAGTGCTTAATGTTGCTTCTAGCGAAATTGCTTCACTTCTTCTTCCTGGAGGACGTACGACACATTCTAGATTTTGTATTCCTATACAGATCACCGAAGATTCAACATGTAATATAAAACAAAATTCTACTTTGGCAGAGTTGTTGTCAAAAACAAAGTTAATCATTTGGGATGAAGCACCGATGGTACACAAATTTTGCTTTGAGGCTCTTGATAGAACACTTAGAGATGTTCTTAGCTGTGTTGATATGCCCTTTGGTGGAAAAGTTGTCGTTCTAGGAGGTGACTTTCAGCAAATATTACCTGTCATTCCAAATAGCAGTAGACAAGATATAGTTCATGCAACCATCAATTCTTCTTATCTATGGTCCCATTGTCATCTGTTATCTTTGACCAAGAACATGTGTCTCAATTCTAGAAGTAACACTAATAATTTGTTGGAAATAAAAGAATTTTCTGAGTGGCTGCTTAAAATAGGAGATGGTGATCTTGGTGATGATGTTGATGGAGAATCTATTTTAACAATTCCAGATGAATTGTTGATCAAAGGTTCAGAAGACCCATTTTCAGATATTGTTGATTTTGTTTACCCAAATCTGATAGATAATATATTAGATCCTACTTTCTTTAAAGAACGTGCTCTTCTGACTCCTAAATTGTCCGATGTTGCCATGTTAAACGAGCACCTAATGGCTGTGATTCCGGGTGAAGAAAGGACATTATTGAGTTCAGATAAGGTTTTGAAACAAGACGGTAATTCATCTCTTGAGGATGACGAAATCTCCCCTGATATCTTAAATACATTCTCATGTTCGGAGATTCCTGATCATAAATTAACTTTGAAGGTTAAAGTACCGATGATGCTATTGAGAAATATTGATCAATCAAGAGGTTTATGCAACGGTACGAGATTACTTATTACAAAGTTGGGGAATCATGTTGTTGAGACAATTGTTCTTACAGGAAACAATATAGGAGATACTGTGTTAATCCCTAGAATGACGATCAACCCATCGGGTTATACATTTCCAGTAAACTTCCAAAGAAGACAATTCCCCTTGGTAGTTTCGTTTGCGGTGACTATCAACAAAAGTCAAGGACAGTCGCTGTCTCATGTTGGAATTTATCTTCCTAGGTCTGTCTTCACTCATGGGCAATTATATGTGGCACTATCTAGAGTAAAGAGCAGACATGGATTGAAGATGCTGATACTTGATGAAAATGGTTGCGTTACAAATACTACCTTTAACATCGTCTACAAGGAAGTATTTCAAAGATTAGTGTAGTATACTTGGTTATTTCTACAAAGAGATAACATTGTTGTTTGGTATCAGGTACGATCTCAATTTTTTATCAGAAAATATTTTTTAATCTTCTTTGTTGATTTCCTTTAGTTGTTATGCCTATTTTTCTGCTAATTTTTTATTGTTATGCAGATTCACTATTCGAGGCACAATCAGTATATTATTCCCTTGTCATTTTTCAGAGCCAAAGGTTTTTCATTGTATTAAGAACCTTGGGATACACCACCCCAAAAGCTAGCTCAAAGGGTGGGAGTGCCCAAGGTCTTATAAACTCCACATTAGTTGCACATACAACCAATGTGGGACTATATATCTCAACACGCCCCCTCACACGAGAGCCCATTGGGCTTGAAGAGTGGACAATGCAACAGGCTCAGCCTACTTGTGCTAAGAAATGCCACAAGAGAAAGTGGGGGGCGACGAGGCTCTGATACCATATTAAGAACCTTGGGATACACCACCCCAAAAGCTAGCTCAAAGGGTGGGAGTGCCCAAGGTCTTATAAACTCCACATTACTTGCACATACAACCAATGTGGGACTATATATCTCAACACATTGTAATTCTGAATTATTCATCTGCCTAAACTATATAATTCCCTTCAATAATTTTTTCTTTTCCAAATATTGTTTATATATTGTTTATGATTCATTTCGAACAGCAGCAAATACCAATAGTGCATGACGGACGATATTTTACAACTGTTGTGAGTATCGGTTGGGCATATTTCTTATTATATTGCTGTCAACATGACATTTATATTTTTTTAATGGAGATTTTGCTGTCAACCATGGAATTTACTGTGTTTAAATTATTATATTCTTTTTTTTGTTCCTACCTTAAAAGTTACACGTTTATGTCATACAAACAAACCGATTTTCTTATTAATTCGTTTATGGGACAAACAAATCGATTTTTTTTTCTCCATGCATCGCACGGGTAATCAACTAGTACATAGTTATAATATGAAAAGTTTTTTTTTTCTCTCCATGTCAGCTGAAGTGACTGAAAAGAGAGAAAAAGTAACTTTTCATATTATAACTTGTACTACTTGTAGTACATAGTGTTACAAATTAAAATGACACAACTTGTGTCCTTCAAAAGGACAAATCTTTTTTCCATCCTTTAACTATGAAGTTATTCATTAAATTTTGAGTAGTGACTCATGTGATTTTTTATTTACATGCATGCATATATATATATATATATATATATATATATATATATATATATAATTTTATATCTTGATCTTAAGTAGTAGAAACTTTATGTTTCATGTCATTTCTACGATTTACGTTTCTACCACCCCCTTCTATAATTCTACGTAGAAACTCGAATTTGATAACATTGGGCATGTCAACTCATGAGTTATCATTTTTATTTTTACTTTTTTTAAATGCTAAATGTAATTAAATGTTAATGAAGTCTTTGTTGGTTTGCGTTAATGGCTATTATGTGACACACAAAAATTTTCTTTTAGGGCCATTGGGGAGAGTAATTTTTTTTCTTAATAGAAAAACAAAAAAAAGAAAAGAAATTTGAGCTTAATTTTGTATTTTAATGCTGGTATTTATACAAATCAAGTTAGATGTTTATGAAATTCTAGTTACATGACGCAATGATGTGTTCATTTGCATATATTCGAATACTTGATGTCTTTCTTTTGTTATATAATAACACTAGAATTGTTAATTAATTTTAAATCATGATTTGTGTAGCTATGCACTACTAAAAAAACTGGTATTAGGGACGGATTTTAGAGACAGAAAATATTGCGTCTCTAATTGGGACGGATTTAGAGACGAAAAAACAATTTGTCCTATTTGGGACGGAATTAGTGATGAAATAAGTTCTGTCTCTAATAGGGACGAATTTTGAGATGGAAAAATATTTCGTCTCTATTTGGGACAGATTTAGGGACGGAACATTTTCAATTTCTGCAATTCGTCCCTAATTCTCTCCTTGATAGGGACGGAATATTGTTCGTCCCAACTTGGGATAAAATCAGGACATCTTTCTAAAATTCGTCCCTAATAGGGACGAGAAATAATCCATCCATATTAGGGACAGAAATTATCCGTCCCCATTAGGGATAAAAAATAATCTGTCCCTAATTGCGATGAATTTAGGGATTAAATTTTGTATTTATGTGTTATTGTTTATGAAATTGCAAAAACACACACTTTTTGTAGATTATGTAGATTGGCTGTTTGTGTTAAAAAAATAACATTACATGATTTATGCGATGAGAAGTATTTGAAAGGTGGTTCATCCAACCTGCTAGTGACTAGTAGAAAAGTATGAGTTAGAGACAGAAAAAAAATTCTAATAAGGATGGATTCAGAGCTGAAATATCAATCACTGGCCAATAAGGAAGATTGATAAACTCATAATTTATCATGTTTTATAAGACTAAAATTACAATAATTAACTCTCTAATGAAACCTTAAGCATGAAACCTTTGAGTTATCTGGTTAGGAAACATTAAATGCGTGTGTGTGTGAGAGTGTGGGCGTATGTGTCTGGGTGTGTGGGCATGATGAACTTCTAACTTGTTATGCATTAATAGTCAAATTGAGCAATGAATTGATCTAAATATAACCAAAGTGAACTCTTGTGTGATTGAATTTGTTTTTCAATAAAATCTGTCTCTAATTGTTACGTGTTTATCTTGAATTTAATGTTCATTTTCTTGTATGACTTGACCAACCATATAAGAATAAAGAGGGTTGAGTTGTAATTAGAAATATTTGGGATTTTAATCTGGACTAGGATAAACATCAATTATGATTTTAATTAGGTTAATGGGTTAGATTTTGACTATTTTTTAATGTTTTTTAAATTAAAATTCTTCATCGACGTTCAAAATCTATACTTCGTCACCAAATATTAGGTTAACATTTTTTAATTAGGTTAATGTTTTTTTTTTGAGATAAGGTTAATGTTTTTTTAATTAGGTTACCAATGTTAACTTTGTCACCACACTCCTTCAAAATCCCTACTTTTGAACCCTTTATTATTAATTTATATCTTGGTGGATTAATTATAAATATAAGATAGACAACTTCATAATTAAATTATATATTAAATCAAATTTTTAAATATAAGAAATATTTATTAAAATAAACAACCTAAAGGATCAATTAAGTATAAGAGAAATATTTCAATTCCTGCCCATAATTCCTTTTTCCCTCTAACCAACCTATGTATCAAAAAACGAATATTTTTTTTATTTTTTATTTTCGGCTATTGGTATACTCTTTTGCCACTATTTCCCTCGCGGTACTTTCGTTTCCCGCAATTTCTTTTTTCTTTCAATCACCGTCCCTCTCCCTCTCTCTCTCTCTCTCTCTCGCTGGTTTAAGAGTTCAAGCCATTGACCTATGAACCCTAATTTTCTCTCTGTTCTGGATGGCCCAAATACTGGGGCGGCCCAACTACACAGGCCCAACCCTCAGCTGGCCCAATCACTCAAGCCCAGCCTCAGCCTTGCCCCACGTCAGCCCTAAGGGCTGACATGGACCCCCTCAACCCCCAACGTAGCAGCAGGCCCAAGGCATACACCAAAATGTCCCATCTTGGAACGCTAACCGTTGAAGGCGACTACGACAGAAACCACAAAGGGAAACTCCCCCTTTGCCCGGCGCTGACACCGCCAGAGTGCAGAGGGCGCAGCACTGCCACAATGACAACGCCAGCACGCCTAACACTGCACCATGGGAGTAAATCCCAAGGAGAGTTGACCTCTCCCTCACCAACCCGCTCCATTTCCCTTATAAATAGCCCTCCTGGGCACATCTTAGAGGTATCTTTTATGTACTGTTGTTATGCCCATTTACTTCCAAGTCATTATCTTGTTATTAATCTGCCATTACAAACCAGGGCTGTTACACCTGACGGTCATGTACAAACAATACATTCAAACTCCCCGCCATCGATGCATTCAGCCCCAGCCGAGAGACCCCCCGGCGAGATGCTCCAGCCAGTACTACAATCCGTCGGTCCACAAATGCAAGCAGTCGAACCAAGGATTGAACAGTTGAACTATCACGCACCTATGCGTGAAATGCAAGGAGAAAACTTGATACAAGACCAACCTCCGCCACCAGGAGTTCGTTTTGGAATGCCTCTTCACACTTTTGCCCCACCAGTCATTCCCGTCCCACGAGCCCATCGTCCGCTACCAGCCCAAAGTCTACCAGTAGCCATGCACCACGATTACCGAGCACCGATGGTCACCCCTTTCCCTATGGGACCATACGCCCCATTCCCTCAGCTTTACCCAACTGGTTTTCCTTTCCAAGGTTACGCTGCCCAACCCCAAAACCCGGCCGTTCCACTACACCAAGTGTCCTATCAATACCAGGGTCAGCAACCATATGCCGCCCAACAACCTCTCAATCACGCCCCAGCCCTCTCCTACTCCGTTGAAGCTCCACAACCGCAAATGGACCGGGCCCCCCAAAACAACAACCTACGAGTCACGCCAGCTCATACGTCAGAGCGCAACAAACCCCTGACTGATATCCTCCGGTTAACTCCCATACCCCTTGGTTTCAAAGGACCCTCCAATATCACCACATATGTCGGAGATGCCGATCCTTTTGAATGGATCCAGAAGTTCGAGGCGGCCATGACTCTCCATGGTGAAACCGACCTCCTCATGTGCAGGACCTTCCCCACGCTACTTGGGGGAAGAGCCTTAACATGGTACACTACTCTACCGACTGGTAGTATCGCTTCATGGGATGAGTTGGCGAGCAAGTTTCAGTCTCACTTTGCAACCAGTCGCCCTGTGCCGAAATCCGTCCACTCTCTAGAAAAAGTACGCCAACAGCAAGGCGAGTCCCTCAGGTCCTTTTTAGACCGCTTTGATAAGGAGGCCCTACAAGTGCAAGGCCTAGACCCAAAAGTACAGGTACATATACTTCTTTCGGGTTTGCGGCAAGGTGCGTTCGCGTACGAGCTCGCCCGCCACGAGATCACTGACCTGGAAGAAGTCAAGAGGGTGGCCCAGGAGTACATGCGAATCGAAGAGTACAAAGGAAGTTGAGTCGAGGACGTCCACGGTCAAGAAAAGGCACTTGGTAAACAAAAGAACCAAATGGAAGAGAGTAAGAAAGGAAATAAACCAGCCAAATATTCAAACCGCCCTCCCAGGCGTGACACATTAGGTCGTCAGACACACGCCGTCCTGCAAACGGAGT